TCGCTAGTGAGGGAACAACTGTATTCTGTTTGATAGGTTTAAATTAGTTGTTAAGCGAGGCAAAGGCTTCACCTTTCTTTTTTTTTTTTTTTTAAATATTTTTTACAGGACGACCACCGACAAATTAATAGCATTTAAGACTTCCTCATTGAAGGCAAAATATGTTCGAGAACTCGGTTATGAAAGTAAAGAACTGACATGGTTGAATAACGCCGACTACTGATGGAAAGCTTAGACTAGAGCAGGGATGGCGAACCAATGGCACGCGTGCCACTTATGGCACGCCACATAATATTTTGGGCACGCCACCGATCACGAATATCAGTGCGAAGCAATTTACCAATTAAATTAAAATTCACAAAAACAAACATAAAAAAATAAACAATTATTAGCAAAAAAATTACAATTAATGCCAAAAAACAATTAATTACCATAAAAAACAAGCTAACAATAAATAACTAGCAAAAAAAAAAAAAATAACAGACCTGCTTAAAATAACATCTTACAACCTAATATAAGTTATTTGTCATCTAATCTGCAACAACAGAAGTCACACTGATGTTACTTTAAGTTGAATTACGCGTATAACTGAGACATTGCGAAATGTATTCTTTTCCATAGTAAATAAAGAGTTTTGAGTTGATAGTATTTAGTGTTATTATTTTCCCAATAATCACGAAGTCAAAATTTTTTGATGGCACGTCTATGACCAAAATAAAATTTTTTTTAGAAAAAATGGCACGTTGGTGCATAAAGGTTCGCCACCCCTGGACTAGAGCATACATTTTCGACAAAGAATAAGAAAAAGCAAAAAAAAAAATTTTTTTTTGTGGAAGGAAAAAAAATTGCAGCGAAAGCAATGTTGTGAGATTTTTTATTGTTTTGATAAAGACGATATTAGAAAAAAAAACAAATAAAAAAGAATAAAGTTTTTTTTCCCACAGAAAATATTTTAAAATCATTAGTGTATAAAATTATTAATTGATTAGTGCATAAATGTATAAGCATAGCTAGCTATAAGTAAAATTTGAAGAAATGCTTCAACAAATAAATAAGTTATTTACTTCTCATATTTTTTCATGCAATATCTTTTGTAACAGAAATTTCTTTACTTTATGAAACTTTAAGCCTAGGCTTTAACAACGCAGACAATAAAACGCTCTCAGAAAAGAAGGGTTTTTCATCTAAATCTGGTATTGCTATATCCAACTTATCTTTCATTTCCTTTCAGCTTATAAAGACGCGATAAAAGTCACACAAATCTGATTTTCTACGAAAGAGCCCCATTAAATTCTTATTTTTAGTTTCAAATATTTTTGCTTCACTTTCAAACGTTAGCGTTTTTTCATGGCGCTCTTAAGAAATATATAAATCTTATGGGAGATTAAAAAAGTAAGCAAACACTAAGCTTCAATTGTTGGTAGAACACCTTGCGATGATGATAAAATAAAAATTATTATTGTTTTTTTTTATGAATGAATTGATAAAATGATTGTGAAGTATTAAAAATAAAGGTGATAACATCTAGTGGAAATTGCTCGTGTTTTGAAATACATTGGAAAAACAGCATAACATGAATGGATACAAATATGATTTAAAATGAGCAGTGAAAATTAAAAAAAGAAATTAAAGAACTTTTCACATTATTGTCCAGTATTAAAGCTTAATTTTCTTATTACTATCCCAAGTGATTGGAAAATATGATGACCAAGTTTTTTTTCAATTAATCTCATCTATTATTCAGTTTGAAGCAAATAAGCTTCAATATAAAATATTAAATTAAAATAGCCTAGAGTCTCATTTTTGATTGATTGCTTAGAGAATTTGAATAGTTGATCTCCTTTCAGAATTATATTATCGTTATTTTTATGAGTAAGGAATTCGTTGTAGTAGCTAATAATTCAAAATTTAAATTCTTTATTAAATTTCACCTTTTCAATTTATAAGCATCTCTTGCGGTAAATAAATGTCAAAAAACAGATATTTAACAAGCATAACTCAAAATAATTTATTGGAATTCTTCTGAGAAACTTATGTTTCGAATTTATAGTTTTTGAAATTCATCAGTTTTCTCTACTGCAAAATTAATACTTAGAACTTATTACCAAATTAATTAAACACCGTTGGCGTTGATAATTGTGAGGAGATTTTCTATGCTTCTTAAAAATTATTTGTACCATTTCTTCATTAATTTTGCAGTGCATAGCTTATTTTTTATTTTATTTAAGTAGTACTTATTACCAAAACTAAGTATCATTGGCATTAATATTAGTATGGCAAATATTTAGGCTTTATCAAAACAAATTAGTACTATTTATTCATTAATTCTAATGAATAATAGTACAGAATTTAGTAATTTTTATTTAATAATCCATATTGATTTTAAAAAATTTAGTTCTTAGAGTTAACATTTTAGAAAAAAAACTATGAATAAAATAAACACGTGGTTTCATATGACTTTAGGAATACTAATTAAGTGACGTAGTTTGCTTATGTCACTACTTTTGCGTTTAACCATTGAGTTTATTTGACATAACCAAGAAATAATTAGATAGTAAGCAGCAGACAACAAAACTCTATTATTAATGGAAGCTATAAAGTAGCTATTTTCATTGAAGTATTAAAAAAAAACAGACATAATCATCTGCATTTTAATTTTTATCAATAGCGAGTTCTCAGTCAATGAGAAAATTTCCTTTTTCAAATGTCTATCAAGAATGATCTACCAGAAAATTACCATGCTTGACAAGAAAGACTGTGTGCCTGACTTCCTCAGACAATTGTCCCTGGAAATCATCAATAAAATCCCTCCAAACGACATCAAAATATTCTCTGATGGCAGTAAAATGGATAGACAGACTGGCAGTGGGGTATTTATTGAAACACCTCGAGAGAACTACACTCTTCATCAACGAAACCCCGATTTTTGCTCCGTCTTTCGAAGCGAACTAATTGCAATCGACAGGGGACTAGAGAAAATCTTGAGTGAAGGGCACCTTGGAAATACTTGGATACTATCTGACAGCCGTAGTTCAATTCAACACCTCAAAAATTGGGCCCTCATTGGAGATAAAACCAGTTTTTCGATCTTACAAAAAGTAAAGCTCATTTCCCAACAGCATGAGGTCCACTTTCAATGGATCCCGTCCCACGTCGATATCCACGGCAACGAGTTGGCTGACACTCTTGCAAAGAAGGGACTAGACCATCCAGTCCCCTCCACCTCAGAGCTTACATACCTTGAACTTTTTGCAAGGCAAAAAGCCCAGAATAAACAAAAGTGGCTGCTTCCACCTATTCACTACTGGTATAAAGCAAAAAGACCAGGACTCTCTCTATCTCTCCCTGGTGACAGGCAAACCAACACCTGCCTATCCCGACTGGCCAGTGGACACCTGAAAAGTCTCACATTTTCTGCAACTCAAAAGATCTTTCCTCTTTGCCCTAAATGCCAACAAAACCAGGCATCACCTGAGCACATCTTGATCTGTTTAGGGCTGGACTGGAACGATATTCATTCCTCTCCCATTCTGGTTTCGGATTTTCTCAATGTTAACGGATTCATTGATCTGGTCTGACCCCGTCAGACCAGATGGGAATTAGCAACAACAACAACAACCAGAAAATTATGAATGAATTTTCGGATCGGGAGTGAAAATTACCCCTTTCATCCACTGTCTTAGCTTTGGGTTTATGACTACTAATATTCAACTCCATAGCCATGTTATTTTGAACCCAATTCAGAAGACAAAGGAACTCCTGGATCAAGTATTAGCAGAAATTTGCTTTCGTGGAGAATTTTTTGCTGTAACTAACCAGCATTTGTGGAGAAGAAACCCACAGTTAGCCTGACGGCAAGGGTACTCTAACCCATAATCTGTCTACCACTGAGGATATTTAAAGTCAGCACTGTGGTCGGTGCAAGCCGGATGCGGAATTCGTATGGCTGCAGCCATCACTGGGATTCGAACCCGTTCACCCTATATTATTATTGATGTTAATGATAATTAATTTGGTGATAAGAAATGATTGAAGATGTACTAAAATGGAAAATCAATGGAGAAATAGTACTAATTCGCCTAACAAAGCGTAAAAAGTCGTCTTACTACTATTGACACCAATGATGCTTAATTTTGGTAATAGGCACTACTGGCATCGGGGTAATTGGGGCAGTTTTATTAGGTATCAAATATACTCTTATATAGGTACAAAATATTTTATGAGTACATTTGAAACGACAGCCGCACCAATGGAGACTACTGCCACACGTCTATTTCTAAATTAAAATAGTGTAGTAAACGATCAAAAAGGTAGCATCTGCAACAAATAATTACAAAATAATGGATCAGGTCCAACGAAGCAGTTGGCAAAATGATAGCAACTTTCCGTAGAAGTGTAAATACACAAAAATGTCAACGTGACCATCGAAATTTCCCAGTTAACAAAATACTGATTACTGTACAGTATTTTAAAGCTTTAAATGTCTGTTTCTATAGCGTACTAATTTAAGTTCCAATTTTGAAATGTTTTATTAAAATAAAATGATATATATTAGTAATTCTTTTCAGAAATTTTGTTTTATAATTTAATATAAAGAGATCAAGCATTTTTTTTTTCAAAAACATTTGCTTATTTTTTACTTTTCTTTAGTTTTTGAAATTTTTGTAAATAAACTATTCATCGAACATGATCCAACGCAGGTGACACATGGGGGACTTTTTAAGTGTCTAGCTTCAAAGGAGCAAGTTCGATTTCAGTACCTAAAAAAGATTTGAGAATAATTTTAAGTTAAAAATTTAAAAAATTTTTTATTCAATTAGCTTGCTGATTCTTTTTTCTCTTTCCGAAATTTCCTGCAACAGACTAAAAGAACTTTCCTCATTTTCTTCCTTTATTTCTTCCTTCTCTTTTCCTACGATTTTTTCTTCCTTTTCATCTTTACTTTTTTCTACTTTTTTTCCATTAACGTCTTCTTTTTTATCTATTTCTTCTTTCTTTTTATCAATTATTTCTTCTTCTTCTCTAGATAACTCTGATGATTCAAAAGCAAATCGATGTAAGGATTCTCTATCCTTGGTTAATAAAATAGGTCCCATAAAATGAATGAGTATAGCAGCCAATGGTGCAGTCAATAGCAGAGACAAAACGCAGACATTCAATACTATAAGGCCAAATTGAACGAACTCCTCTGAATAATCATGTCCTCTCGCGTAATCCAAAGCTAGAGATCCTATAGCAGCTTGTACGGAAGCTTTTGGCAGGTAGGAACAGCAGATAAACAATTTTTCTTTGTAGTTTAAATTGCAGCCAAATGTAGCAAAGTATGTCATAATTGTGCGGAAAAAGAGAGACAAAATCAGAGATAATATAGTCCACCCTGCATTAGAATGTAATATCTCAACGGTAATTTCTGCTCCGATTAGAGAAAACAGAAGTGGTTCAACAATTTCCCATAAGAGAAGAGTGCTATTATATACACCTTCAAATTGCTGGGGGTCTTTTCTCCATTCAATGCAAGCAATGAATCCAAGAGTGATACACGCGAGAGGTCCAGAGCCAGCAAATTTAACTCTTTGGCTCAAAAACATTACACCAATAGATCCCAATACTACCATTAGAACATTGTAATAAACTTTAATTTTTCTTTTATTGTATGTCTTTGGAAAATACCAAAATAAAATTCCAAAAATTACTGCTAATGCAAGTCCTATTATTGGCTCTAAAATGGCTTTGATTATAGAACAGAATAAGTCTTTGGTTGAGACAGCTACACTGAAACAAACAGTGAAGCCTGTGATTGCCACAACGTCATCTAGCGAAGTAGCTCCAATTACCAAAGCAGGAATTCCCTTTTTAACTCCGTATCCTTGTCTTTCATATTCTAGTAAAGGCGGCAATACTATTTCAGGAGAAATATTAGAGATAATAAATCCTAACATGAAAGAGAAGATAAAAGGAAGTCCTAACAGAAAATGACCAAGAATACCCAGGCTTAATACTTCAGTGAATTGTGGACAAATAGCCAGTCTCAGTACAGCTAGTTTTAACTTTTTCAATGCTTTACCATCAAGACTTATACCAGCTCTTAATAAAATAATGGAGAGAGCTATTTCTCGTAAATCAGTAGTAACTTTCTTTGGAATGTGATGATAAAAAGGAATTTCTCTGATGTTTCTGAAAAGAAATCCTACAATCAGCATGCCCACTAGTGGTGGCATTTTGAGCAGACCGATACATTTTCCTCCCAAAAAAGCAGCAATTACAATAACAAAAAGAGCAAATATTGCACTGCCTGGCAAAGCATCATCCCCAAGCATGCCATAAGATATGGCATACAGAAATAGGACGCAAAACATTTGTGTGATATAACGATTAATTTGCCGTCGATTAGGCAGGATGTAAGCTGTAATTACCTGCCACCATTTCTTTTTCATTTGTACTTCAACTGTAGTATGAACTCTTGGCGGTAAAATGTGAGCACTGCTTTGAATCAGCGAAACTTCCATTTCCCCCTTGTTTGTGTCACAAAGGTAATAGGTTTTAGTTTAGCAGCACTTGTGAAAACTCTTTTTAATATGACGGCATTATAGTTCATGCAATAATATTTATAAAAATTCTTTTGAGGCTTGAATGAATAATAGACGCATCATTTTGTGCATTTTGAATCTTTAAAACAATCGCCTTGATTACAAATAGTGAACTTTTTACCAAGTAATATTGTATCGTGGCGCAAGCTTTTGACTCAGTTTGTTCATTAAAACTTGTTTTCTGTCTATTTGTTTGTGTATGTATTTCATTGGGAAAAGAATAATAAATAGGACGAAAGAAATTAAATTACGATACAAATAATTGAAATCTTACTAGTTTTTATATCTAATTAAGGGTTAACTTGATTGTATCATGTAACTATTTGCATGCAGACTCACTTATTACTTAAATTTAATCTGTATAGAATATCTAGACTCTTGTTATCCAGAAGAAATATTTACCTAATAACAACAAACTAATAATTTATGTTCCATGACATATTAATTTTCCACCTTAAAAAGCGTGTTTTAGTAACCTTTAGCAACAATTAAGTTACACGTGAGTTACTGATCTAGCTCTTATTTGGTTCAATTTAACAGCAATTTAAGTCAATTAATACAACAATTTAAGTCATTTAATAGTTGATTAGAATAAGGCGGAACCAATTTTTCTCATTGTAAATATTTACCTCAAATTTTCTTATTTGAAGCCAGTAAGGAGGTTTAACCTGTTCTGTTACGCAACAAGTCCTGCTTAGAAAGGAACAAGTAAGCTTCAAAACTGGTATTTGTTTAGATTTCGAACAAAGTTGAGGAAAGTATTTACGCTTTGGCTGTAGGCTAGGTCAACAGTTAACTTTGTGACGCGACAAAATGAAGAGATGACTGATCGTATATTGTTTTTACTTATTTTATTTAACTTGTCTTCTGAATTGGGTATAATATGAAAAAAACACAACTACTTCCACTTCGAAAATTTTACTAGGAATAACATTTACCTTTGAGTTTAATTAATAAGCTGAGTTTTAAATATGTTTACTAAATTCATAAACTTAGATAAAACAACAAAATAAATTATTCCAAAAAGAACTAAACTAATACAATTTCAACCTGCCGAGTAGCGACTTATAACAACACACTTCATTTAATGTTTACTTGTTGCTAGAAATCAGGTTCGCAGAAAATGCTGTTTACTAGTTAAATTTAGTAGGAATAACACGAGCTGTGACGTAGGCTATAGTATACCCAATTCGCCATCGCAACGCTCGAGTACGCCGTCTAGCGGGAGCCTGTAAATATCGGACATTAATTTATCACGTTTTCATTTAGTTCCATCAAAGTCATTGACTGAATCAGACGCCATTTTTTAGCAGCAAATAAGAAACAAAATTTCCCTAAGGAAAAGGCCGAAGAACTTGAAAAAAATCTCCAGAATATTAGTAAATCTTTCAGGAACAGAACACGCCAAACATTTGAAGAAAAATTC